TCCTTTGGACTCTTTTCAAAAACATTCTACTCTTGTTCTTCAACTGCATTTCCAGATCTACCAATGGCGAAGCTTGGATTTACTGCTGTTTTGTTCTTGTTACTTATCCACTTTGCGTTCGCTTCGGAGACGCCGGAGTTGTCACCTGTGCCGGCCCCTGAATCGGGAGATACTCCTTCTCCGTTTGGATCTCCTGATATTTCACCCCTGCCAGCTTCTCCTCCGTCTCCGGTGGCTCCGTCGCCGTCAGATCTGTCCCCGAATGGATCCCCGACTAGTTCGCCTTCTCCAGCACCAGGCGTGAGTGACATTAACCACATCAATGTTCCAGTCGAAGAGGAGGATAAGGAGTCCGATGGTGGAATGAGTGGAGGCAAGAAGGCAGGGATTGTGGTTGGTGTGGCCGAACCACAGGTTGAAAATTGCTTGATTTGCTTCACGTTATGTTGGGTCATGTGGTAAATTATTTACTACCCGTGTGATGTGTACTTTCTTCTAAAATAAATTATTATTATTATTATCTGGATAATGATAGAGGAGACGATTTTATGGAACGAAAATAGATGACAATAGGTGTCACAAGGTCAAATTGATTATTCTGCACATTGACTTTATCACACCTATCATTATTTGTTTTTGTCCCATAAAATCATCTCCTTTATCGTTATCCGTATTATTTTTATATTGATTGCATAATAAGAAGCAATTATCTTTTACCTTTTATTTCATCCCATACGCATACTATGTAATTCAAAATCAAAATCTCTTACTTTTAACGGAAAGAGACTACTTAAGTCGTTGACTATTTATTTTCAATAAAGTTAAATTTAATATGAATAATTTATTAATTTAAACTAATTAATTTAAACTAAAGGAATCTGATTCTTTTTAATTATTAAGTTTAAATTTTGTGAGTTAAAATATTGATACTAAGAAAGTTTCTTCTCTTATGAAGGTTGACATAATTTAATTTTAAATTAATTAAAATTTAATATAATTTTTAGATATAGAAATTTAGTAAAAAAATAAAGTTATATTTAATTAAAAACTAAATTTATGTGTGTATATACTTTTAGTTATGTGTTGTCTTTGTTAGATTTTTAATAGTCATATTTTATATGACATAATTACAAAGAAATTTATTAAAAAATTTATAATATATAAATGATAATTAAAAATATTTTTTAATTTAACATTTTTGTGATTCACACTAAAAGATAAATTTAACAAACACTAAAAAACACACAATTATTAACTCTTTATGTAAATTTTATTTTTGCCTCTTCTTTTTATAGTATGCAATAAAAAATTGATTGAGGCATTTAATAGTGACAATATTAGAAGAAAGCATTTAATACATTTACAAAAGTAAACAATGTTATAACAAGACTAAGGGGTAGTATGACAGCTAAAAATGCATGTAGATATTTCCTC